CAGAGCCTCAAGCTCTCCCCCAGGGTAGAGTGCCATGGCATCACAGCTCAGCAACCTCAACTCCTGGGCTCAAGTGAGTCTCTTGCCTCAGCCTCCCAAGTAGCTGGGACTACAGGCGCCCGCTACAACACCCAGCTATTTTTTTTGGTTGCAGCCGTCATTGTTGTTTGCCAGGCCCAGGCTGGATTCGAAACCACCACCTTAGGTGTACGTGGCTGGTGCCTTAGCCACTTGAGCCACAGGCGCCGAGCTTCCCGTATGGCTTTCATAGCCTTCCCTTTGAGGGTGCTGGCAAATCCCTTTAGCCCCCAGCCATCACTCTTCCTGGTGTTGTCCCTCAGAGAGCCCTGTGAGTTTGCCTTCTCACTTCCTGCATCCTCCCCTTGCCTGGGGTACACACATGACCTTCCAACCCTGTCCTTGTGCTGCCACCCTTCCCTCTTGTACGAAGCGTCCCCTTCAAATGTTTGTCTGGTGTTATTTCCTGCCAGTTTGTACCAAAGTCCCCACTCAGTCATATGAGAGGTCAGAAAACTTGTCTATAAGGGCCAGACAGGAAATATTTTAGGCTTTGTGGGCTTTGAGGTGTTTGTTGAAACTACCCATCTCTCTTCATTGTAATGTGAATGCAGCGGTAGGCAATATGTGAACCGGTGGTGGGGCTGTGATCCAATAAAACTTTGGACACTGAAAGTTGGATTTCACATAATTTTCACATACCATAAACTTTTTTTTTGTAACTACAAAAACACGTAAAAACCATTTTTAGCTCACAAGCCATACTGGCGCAGGCAGTGGGCAGATTTGGGCACAAAGCCTTGTAGTTAGGGCAGGAAGCATCAGACTCTGCACTCACCCCTGTGTCTCAGCCAGTCAAGCTGTTCTCCCCCTCCCCAGCTACTGCTGGGTGGCTGCACTGAGGGTTAAACAAGCACGTACACAGTCAGTGATGGGAACAAGTAAGATCAGTGAGGACAGATCCCCATGAGGGAGGCTGAAGTGCAAGGTTTCGTCTCTCTCCGTGGGACTCCAGCAAGCAGCCACCTCACTCTTGGGTGTCTGAGATGTGCTGGATGTTTTCTAGTCACTATGAGTTCACACTCATGTTCAAGAAATTTTATTAGGCAAAAGTAGTACAAAAGAGCCTCCTTTGTTTTTCCTATTTTTCTTAAAATAGAAGGCATTTTATTTCCAACTGACCTTTGTTCTGTTTCAAGAAACAGTCCCTAAAGCAAGAGGAGGACCATCCCAAGAGACAAGAACCGGCCTACATAATGGAACTGCCCAAACTAAAGCTTTCAGGAATGTCCAAACTGTCATCTTACTCCAGCCCCACACTGCAGTCAGTGTTTGGATCTGGAATAAATGGAAAAGTCCCAGTGTTGAGGCCCTTGAAGTGTGTTGGTGCAAACAAGAAGGTAGCGCATATAACTGGCTTCTCGGAGGGCACTGCTCCTGGGCTCCAGCCTAGGCCTCCACTGAACGTCTGTCATTTCTCTTTAACAGACAGATCCGCAGAAGGACATGAAACCTGCCCTGAAACAGTATCGCTTGCCCACCATAGAGAGGAAAGGTGGAGGGTACTGAGCAGCTTGCACCGCCGCAGCTCCGTGGAGGGGAAAGCCAGGTGTGACCAGGGCCAGCCTGGGCGACCCAGGGCTCAGGGAGAGTGCTGCTCTTCGGACTGGCTCAGACTACTTGGGCTGGAGCTGCTCCGAGGTCCGCACGTGTTTGCAGCCCCAAAGCAGCTATACTTTGTGTTCCAGTCCAATACATTTATAAAACCACTTCACTCCAGGGTTTTCATTTCCATAACAAGAATTCTGGGCAGGGACTATTTTGTAACTTTTTGTATGAATTAAAATGAATACACTAGGATTCATGTGTGTTAGGCTTTGGTTGAAGGTGGGCTCTGGTGGGCTCTGTGTATTCTGCCTTCCCTAGTACGTAACCAATAGTATGAGGTGTGCACATCACATCTTACAGATAATGCTATCGGAGACCCCTGATTTTTATTAAATAATAAGCTATCATTACAATATTTCATTTAATACTCTTTGAGTTAAACATGTGTCCTTATTATCCATTCCTTTATTTTAGCTTTTGTGGGCATATTAGAGCAATTGCTTTGGTTGGGAATACTTTCATTTGGAAAACCATTATGGAAAATGCACAGGCCTGTTCTTAGAGCCCTCATGTTGCCTGGTGACCTTAGCTGAATAAGGTGGTGCTGTAGCAATGGGGGTAGACCTGAGGTGTCTATTCTAAGCACCCAGTGTTGAGGTGACACATCATTTTACTCCTGGGTGTATAAGACACTGCCTCCTGCCTGCCAATGGTGCTGTGAGCTTTGTTTCTGGAGTGCCAATAATAAGTTGGGTACCCAATGTCCTACAAAAAGAAACCCATTTCCCTTGGGGGAAGGATGGGACAGTGCAGAGAAACAGGCACTAGCCAGGATGCAGGGCAGAGGAGAAAAATCCTATTAAACCCCTTTTTGTCCTAGACTGTGACCCGGTAATTGAATGTTACTTTTTTTTCATCTTTTCAAACTTACAACATTAAAAAAAAAAACCAAAAACACCTAAATTTCCCAGGTTAGTGTCGAATCTCCTCATTACCTGTGGAGAACAATCTGTGACATCCTTCCTTCCGGTGCTCTCCAGGGGTCCCACCTCCAGGCTACCTAACAGGTGGTGAAGCAGAGCCAAAAGCAACAAGATAGCTGAGCTGTAGGAGGTGGACACAGGGCTACATAGAGGGGCATGCTGAGGGGGAGGAAAAAGGGGCAGCCAACTCAGGGGTGCTGGTCCCTGGTCTGGGCTCCATGGGGCAAAAGAGACAAAGGACAGATTCAAGACCAGAATTGAGGCTACATTGACATGCAGGAGTAGGTACTCCTTGGGGGGGGGGGTTGGAATAAGCTTCCTTTTAAATCTATTTGGGGGCTCAGCGCCTGTAGCTAAAGTGGCTAGTGCGCCAGCCACATACATCAGAGTTGGCAGGTTTGAATCCAGCCTGGGCCTGCCAAACAACGACAACTACAACGAGGAAAAATAAAATGGCTGGGCGTTGTGGCGTGTGCCTGTAGTCCCAGCTACTTGGGAGACTGAGGCAAGAGAATTGCTTAAGCCCAAGAGTTTGAGGTTGCTGTGAGCTGTGATGCCACAGCACTCTACCAAGGGTGACATAGTGAGA